CAACCCTGACTCCTAAGCCTCAAGCCCTAGCCTTAAGAAAGCTTGCTGAGGTCAACAATGACCTGATCCTCCTCACGGAAGGCGCGCGCGCACACTGAGTTCCGGGCTTTCGGAGTGATCAGGGCAGATCTTAAACCCAAATCCCCTACGCGATTTTACAAGGGTTCGGGTTGAGGGTTTTGAAGGGTTAAGGAACCCCGCGATGTGTGTTCTTGTAGGGTTCATGAGGCAAGTCCGAGTTTCCAGGTAGGATAAGGGGGACGCTTAAAAGGGGAGCCCTTCAAAAAACCCTCTTCTGGGCTCTGTGAAACAGGGACCTTACTCAGAGGGTCTATGTCCAGAAAGGGTCCCCCTAATCCTATCCCCAAGAGTTTAGGGTGCAGGAAGGGTTCAGGGTTTAGGGTTTAGGGTTTAGGGTTTAGGGTTTAGGGTTTAGGGTTTAGGGTTTAGGGTTTAGGGTTTAGGGTTTAGGGTTTAGGGTTTAGGGTTTGGGGTTTAGGGTTTAGGGTTTAGGGTTTAGTATGGCTGTAGTCCTGTTGCTCCATGCCCGGAGGGATGGTTGGGAGATCCCAACGTTTAGGGTTTAGGGGGTTTAGGGGGTTTAGGGGGTTTAGGGGGTTTAGGGGGTTTAGGGGGTTTAGGGGGTTTAGGGGGATTAGGGGGTTTAGGGGGTTTAGGGGGTTTAGGGGGTTTAGGGGGTTTAGGGGGTTTAGGGGGTTTAGGGGGTTTAGGGGGTTTAGGGGGGTTAGGGGGTTTAGGGGGTTTAGGGGGTTTAGGGGGTTTAGGGGGGTTTAGGGGGTTTGGGGGTTTAGGGGGTTTTTTAGGGGGTTTAGGGGGTTTAGGGGTTTAGGGGGTTTAGGGGGTTTAGGGGGTTTAGGGGGTTTAGGGGGTTTAGGGGGTTTAGGGGGTTTAGGGGGTTTAGGGGGTTTAGGGTTAGGGTTTGGCGGATTGTTGTCGCCGTGCCATTGTATGTGTTAAACCCTAAACTCTCAAAAGAAGCATAGCCCTCGACCCAAGCCCTTTCATCGTCCCCTGGGCATGAAACCCGAAACCCTAGACCCGAAACCCTAAACCCTAAACCCTGTGCGAGTGCGAGAGCCGAAACCTTAAACCCTAAACCCTAAACCCTAAACCCTATAAACCCTAACATTGGGCTTTGACTCCGTGGTCGTGCTTTCTTTTCCCTTCTCCAAAGTCAGGGCCCAAAGCTGCGGCTAGGTGGGTGGCGACAGAAAAAGGCAACTAAACCCTAAACCCTATACCCCAAACCCTTAAGGGCGTTAAGGGTTCTTCCTAAACCCTCAACCCTAAACCCTAAACCCTAAACCCTAGACCCTAGACCCTAAACCCTAAACCCTAAACCCTAAACCCTAAACCCTAAACCCTAAACCCTAAATCGAGCTGGGCTTCGCACCGTTGGGCTGCGGGGTTTTGGAAGAGCCATTGATGCTGACAGGCTGCGAGCTGGAGCGGGACGCCGAAGTGCCGCCTGCCTACTTGGGTTTGGGGTTTGGGGTTCAGGGTTTAGGGTTTAGGGTTTGGGGTTGAGGGTTTGGGGTTGAGGGTTTGGGGTATTGGGCTTTGGTTTAGGGATTGGGAATTTTAGGGCTTCAGACTCTCAGCCCTGGCAAGAATGTGTCTGAAACCCCTTAATTAAACTCCAACGCCTGCGAGGTCCAACCTTTCAGTGCCACACTTCAAGACACCCCAAACCCTAGTCAATGTGGCTTGGTGGTTCCGAACCAGGCCAAAAGCCTGAATAAACCTTGCACACCCTGAACCCTACATGCAAAGAGACCCGAATCCCTAAGCCCTAAATCCTGAAGCCGAGCTCCTAAAACCTCAATCCTCAACCTAAACCCTAATTCCTAAACCCCAAAACCCCAAACCCCTCGCCCTAAACCCTAAACCCAAAACCCTAAAACCCTAAAACCCCAAAACCCCAAAACCCCAAATCCCTAGCCCTAAACCCTAAACCCTAAACCCTAAACCCTAAACCCTAAACCCTAAACCCTAAACCCTAAACCCTAAACCCTAAACCCTAAACCCTAAACCCTAAACCCTAAACCCTAAACCCTAAACCCTAAACCCTAAACCCTAAACCCTAAAACCCTAAAACCCTAAAACCCTAAACCCTAAAACCCTAAACCCTAAAACCCTAAACCCTTCAACCCGACCCCCAAGGACCGAGCTCCTCGAGTCCCTGGAGACTCAGTCGAAGGAGGCTCCGGGGGGGAGGTATCCTTTGCTATAGTTGGGTAGCACTTTTTTTTTCTCTTCATTTTTAAGGGTAGGTTTAGGGTTTAGGGTTTAGGGTTTAGGGTTTAGGGTTTAGGGTACTTAAAACCAATAAGGAATATCGATATAAAATGTTGATACTATCACAACTATGAACTAGTACCACTCGACGAAGTCTTCCGATTTAGGGTTTAGTGTTTCGGGTTTAGGGAACTTAGGGTTTTCATAAATATACTTACGTATAGTACAAATAAATATATAGGATCTCAGTTAGCAGAGAAGCTAGACGTGCACAACGAAGAGAGCGACAGCAGCAAGACCAAGAGACCAAGAGCTAGTTTCCGGTCGGGCTAGGGTGCCTGCACAAAGTGTCAGGAGACTTGAAGGGGTGATGTATTGTGACGTCTTCTGTTTGATGCAGGATTGCGTGAAATCAGGCAATACTGCTTCCCAGCTGATCGGCAGAGTCTGGGGTTTAGAGAGAGAGAGAGAGAGAGAGAGAGAGAGAGAGAGAGAGAGAGAGAGAGAGAGAGAGAGAGAGAGAGAGAGAGAGAGAGAGAGAGAGAGAGAGAGAGAGAGAGAGAGAGAGAGAGAGAGAGAGAGAGAGAGAGAGAGAGAGAGAGAGCGAGAGAGAGAGAGAGCGAGAGAGAGAGAGAGAGAGAGTGAGAGTGACAGAGAGAGAGAGAGAGAGAGTGAGAGTGACAGAGAGAGAGAGAGAGAAAGAGAAAAAAAGAGAGAGAGAGAGAGAGAGCGAGAGAGCGCGAGCGAGCGAGCGAGAACGCCAGAGAGAGAGAGAGAGAGAGAGCGAGAGCGAGAGCGAGAGCGAGAGGGAGCGAGACTGAGATGCTAAACGCTAAACCCTGAACCCTAAACCCTAAACCCTGAATATCTTCAGCTTTGGGGCTTCGTGTGCCAGGCTGCGGCATTCTGCATGATTTTCCGCGACGTGCAGGTCACCCGTCCAAAATGATTGGCCGATTTCGAAGAGGTGCGGAGAAGTCTTGAACTTCCTCACCCTCAACTTCCTGGGATTAGGGTTTAGGGTTTAGGGTTTAGGGTTTAGGGTTTAGGGTGGTTGGGGGATTTGGGGTTCGCGGTTTCGGGCTTCGAGTTTTGGGGCGCCACGCTAGCCAAGGACCGTCTGAAGAAGGAGCTGCAGTGCATGCATGTCGCCCCAGCACCTGCTGCCCTGCAGCCGCCACGCCACTTGCCGAGGGATGACAGACCATTCTTTCTAGACGCCTTCCGGAGCTCTACGGGCAAGTCATCATGTTTTTGTCATCCTTGCCTCCTTTCGAATGGCATGGCTGCCGGCTACTCTTCGCAGTAGTGGCGTACCATTCTACTCGGAACTTGGGATCTAAGGGTTCAGTCGCAGCAGGAATGACGAAGCACTTGGCCCAAGTGTGCGCCTTCCACTTCGGCTAAGGTTTCGAAGTTTCCTACCACTTGCTTCAGAACCGCTCCCAAAAACTCCTCCTCATAAGGGCAATATGGGGATTCATATGTTTCTTTTTTGGGGGTTCTTACGCAAATCAGGGTTAAGGACCTTCCGCTCAATCCTTGCACTCCCTGCATCCCGGGACAACCCCCTGCACCACGGCAAAGGACACCCCACCAGCCCAGCTGTCAGGTCTAGGGTTTGCGGTTTAGGGTTTGGGGTTTAGGGTTTTGGGTTTTGGGTTTTGGGTTTAGGGTTTAGGGTTTGGGGTTTACGGTTTAGGGTTTAAGGTTTAGGGTTTAGGGCTCCAACTTACTGGCTCAAAACCCAACTTTTCAACTTTCGGGCTTCCTATAAAGTAGTCTATTCTGAAAGTTCAACTTTTATTTCCTTGGGTTTTGGGCCAGTAAGCCAAAAAGAGCCCGTAACCCAAACTCGAAACCCCATGTCGACATGGAGTCAGCTCTAGATCTCAGAGGACCCCCTTTTCTTGGGTTCACTGTTGATAGTTGCCCTCAGCCCCAAAAGCTTAATCATTAATCTGAACACCTAAAATACAAAGGCTCGCTTTTATGAGCTACTAGGTGGGGCCCGATATATATATATATATATATATGTTCCCTCATTGCTCTTTAAGAGGACTACTTGGAGGTTCATGGTACTTATGAACCAGTTATCACTGTACTTATCACCCACTTACAAGCCCCCTAAGTGCCCTCATATGGTTATAAGTACAGTTATAAGTACAGTTCTAATTGGTTAATAAGCACCATGAACCTCCAAGTATATATCGGAGTGTTTTTTGAGAGGGCTTTATAGGGCCATCCTTGGCCCATTGCAGCTTTTAGGGGTTGCCAAACCCTGAAGCTGCAACTAGGACCCGGAGGTAGGCCCTTCTTTCCCTTTTTTTTGGAGGGGGGGGGGGGGGGGGGGGGGGGGGGGGGGTTGGGGTTCCCTTCTAATCCGCTTAAGACCAAAAAGGGGGCGCCCTCTTTATTCCTAGGTTGCTCCTGGGTCGAGTTGAGATCCTTTGAGAGGTGGTGGCCCGACTGAGCTCGTGGCCGAGCAAACTCCGGCAAGACTGAGACTTTCCATGAGATTCTACCTTGGACGTGGGATGTTCCTCTTTATACTAACAGTCCTTCATAGTTTTTTTTTTTTTTTTTAGAGGGGCTATTGTACTATAGTCCCTTTCTAGGACTGTTCAGTCCTATAGGGATTTTTGTATCAGGGCTACTAGAATCCCTATGGAGGACTGTTAGTATTCAAGGGGGAACGTCCCAACCTTGGACCCATAAGGTTGTACCCTTGGCCTCGGGGAGTTTTGAAGACCCCCTAAGTAAGGTTGTACCCTTAGGTTTGGGGACCCGCTTAAAAGACCCTCTAAGGGAATACAACGGCCATATTAGGAGCAGATGAAAGGGAGCCTCATAGCATGTCTTGGCTTGAGGCGAAGTTCTCACCGATCCATTGGGAATCTATATGGGCTGCCCTTCATAAGCCATTAGCCCTTTTGGTGCAAAAAAGAGAGGAAGAGCCAAGAACTGCTCTGAGTGCCCACGTTGCTTCAGGTGCGCTTAGATCTTCGAGAGTTTAGAGGTACTAGACCCGAAACCCCAAAACCCTAAAACCCCGAACGCCCTAAGCACCCTAAACACCCTAAAACCCTAAAACCCTGAAACCCGAAAACCCTAAAACCCTGAAACCCTGAAACCCTGAAACCCTAAAACCCTAAGCGTATCCATCACAATGATCGAGCTGACTTGCACGCTAAAGCTGTCTTTCTGCATCTTCCCGAAGTGATCTCTTGTGCTCATAACCTCATGCTGACCCACATCAAGCTGCAAACCCAACGAAAGCTGAGTGCCGCCTTGTATTTACGTTCCGTCTTTGATCAGTTTACTTAGATCTCCAACTGTCTGCAAGTGCAAGATGGTGGTTTCACGCTATCACCAAGCCGGACTCCACCACAATCAATCGCTGGCCTAGAACCCTAAAACCCTGAAACCCTAAAACCCTGAAACCCTAAACCTGAATTTTGCTACGCAATATATATGGCCTGCCGCTCAGCGGGAGGCATCCCGGCATCTCTTCCCACAGCTTTGCACCGAAGTTGAAACCCTGAGTGCTTCTAACCCTAAACCCCAAACCCCAAACCCCAAACCCCAAACCCTAAACCCTAAACCCTAAACCCTAAACCCTAAACCCTAAACCCTGTCTTCAAAACTCAACCCTGATTTGTTTTTGAAGAGGGGGCATCTTCGGCAGATCCTATTGTGTTCACAACCCATGAACCCGCCGAAGCCTTCCTTCCCAGACCCTTCTCCTACTGGGGGCTTAGGGTTTAGGGTTTAGGGTTTAGGGTTTAGGGATTAGGGTTTAGGGTTTAGGGTTAGGGTTTAGGTGCTTATTACCCAATTTTAGCTGTACCTATAACCGTATTAGGGTTCAGGGTTGGTTAAAGAGTACCATGAACCTCCAAGTAGCATCTCGCCCTTCCCGCAAAAGGCGACCCTGGAATCTTCAAGCTCGCCCTCAACCCTCTCGCCCCCCTCCCCCCCCCTCTCCCCCGAAAAAGAAATGAAAACAAACAAGCTCATATATATATATATATCTATCTATCTAAACGACAGAAAGAAAGAAAGTCTCCTAAACGCGAAGCATCCCGGACGCATGCCCTGAACCCCCAAACCCCGAGCTCCTAAGCCCCCAAACCCAAACAAAGACAAAAAACACCTCCTACACCCGAAGCAGCCCGGAGCTCCGCATGCCCTAATCTAGGGCTTAGGGTTTAGGGTTTAGGGTTTAGGGTTTAGGGTTTAGGGTTTAGGGTTTAGGGTTTAGGGTTTAGGGTTTAGGGTTTAGGGTTTAGGGTTTAGGGTTTAGGGTTTAGGAACCCTAAGCTCCTAAACCCCCCGAACCCGAGGACACAAGCTTCACTGCCGGGGTTGCTTGCGCCTGGGAGCCCATGCAAGGCCTGGACAGCACGCCTCTCTTTAGGGTTTAGGGTTTAGGGTTTAGGGTTTAGGGTTTAGGGTTTAGGGTTTAGGGTTTAGGGTTTAGGGTTTAGGGCCGCCTGTTGAGGGTTTGTTGGGCCGCTGTCAAACTCTCAATCCTTTAAGGTTTCGGGTTGCGGGTTTAGGGTTTGGGGTTTAGGGTCCCAGTCTGGGCGCACAACGGTTTAGGGTTTAGCGCTTTGGGTTTAGGCTTTAGGGCTATAACTCTCTAAACCCTTTTGGGACGCCTAAGCCTCCTTCCAGGCATCCAAGCTCGGGGCGTTGCAGGCTGACATCTCCGTGCCCACCATCTCCTACAGTCAGGTCCCGGAGTGTAGGTCTTTGAGTGTTTGGGCGGTTTAGGGTTTGGGTTCAGAAAAGGGTTCAGGGTTTGGTCAGTGTGTAAGGGAAGGGGCGGCCCCTCTTATTTGGGGTACCCCAAAAAGAGTCCTAGAGAACTCCTCAGATTGCCCCTTTGCAGGCCTTCCGTCACGACATCGTTGAGAGCGAAACAGTGCCGATCAAAAATTGGGACAGCTTCTTGGGTTTATCTTGGAGCCCGGTGGTACCCCTTTTCACATTTTTTAGGTTCAAGGTTCCCTCATTAAAGTCACCAACCCCCCAAAAAGGGTGCCCTGATTGTACGAAGGCTACTGGGCTACCAAGTTGAGGAGTCAGAAGGACTTGTAGGGTTTAGGGCTCTGGGGTTCCCAAAGAGCCCAATACCTTTTACTTAGGAATAGACCTTAAAACCATACTAAGGAAACCCATATGGCTTAAGGAATGTTCCTTACTTCAGGGGCATTGGGCTCCCTGGGTTGAGGGTTGCTTAAAGGGGGGCATCTGTATCAAAGAGGTCGGAGGTGCATGGGGTTTTGGTTGGTGACCTTTAGGACGTCGGATCTCAACGGCTAGATTTTGCAGGGCCATGGAATTCTTAATCCTTCCCCCCCCCCCCCCGCCTAGACTACAACCCCCTCCCGCCCACCCCAACAAAAAAGGGTAAGACCTAGGTCAGGTTCGACTTGAAATACTTAGATAAGTTATGTGGGGTGTCCTTTGATGGTGAAGCAGTAGGATGATCGAGGGGCTCCCCGAGCACTGGCCCTAAACCCCAAACCCCACACCCCCTAAACCCCGAACCCCAGGCCCCTAAACCCCAAACCCCAAGCCCCCTAAACCCCAAACCCCAAGCCCCCTAAACCCTATAAACCCTAGAAACCCTGTAAACCCTATAAACCCTATAAACCCTATAAACCCTATAAACCCTATGAACCCTATAAACCCTATAAGCCCCCTAAATCCTATAAACCCTATAAACCCTATAAACCCTATAAACCCTATAAACCCTACAAACCCTACAAACCCTACAAACCCTACAAACCCTCCAAACCCCAAACGAGGAAGACACCTGAAGCGACTGAGGCCCGCTCGAGCTGCCGCTCCCAGGCCAGCTCTTCCCGGAAGAGCCAATGGTTTCGGCGCGGAGCACGCAGGTGGATGTCCTTTGGGGGGCGGGGGGGGGGGGGGGGGGGGGGGGGTTTAGGGTTTTGGGTTTAGGGTTAGGGTTTATAGGGTTCAGGGTTTATAGGGTTTAGGGTTTAGGGTGGGCAATCGTGGGGTTGTTTTGGTCAGCCGCAGGCATGGGGCATAATTTTCTAGCCTGTGAGGGCCGGCAATAGGTAGGCGCGCCTTCTCGAAAGAGGACGATTTATGTGTGGGTTCCTGGAACCCCCATCGTCCTTACAACATGCCGCCAGCGCCTAGCAAGCCCGCCGAGCCCTAAAAGCCCTGATACACCCCATAAAAAGTTTAGGGTTTATAGGGTTTAGGGTTTAGGGTTTATAGGGTTTATAGGGTTTAGGGTTTAGGGTTTAGGGTTTAATAAGCCCTTCAGCCCTCGGGGACCCTATGAACCGCAAAACCCCAACACACATCCGAGCCCTGCATGCCGCATGTTGAAGCCAGGCCCGAAACCCGAAACTCTTCGCAGATCAGGCAGCCGACAGCCTTGCACCAGGAAGGCCATATGGTCACCCCTAACGAAATCTTGCTTCAACCGGTGAACCCCTCATCCTCGAAATTGCCCCTCCTTCACAGCCGACCCCCCCAAACCCTTAAGCCCCCTGAACCCCCCAAACCCCCTAAGCCCTCTGCACCCTAAACTCTCTAAGGTTTAGGGTTTAGGGTTTAGGGTTTAGGGTTTAGGGTTTAGGGTTTAGGGTTTAGACCCCCCAAACCCCCTCAACCCTTTAAACCCTCATCCCGGCCACCCTAAAAGCATCTAAATAGACCCTCTAAACGGCCCTTTAAACCATCCAAAACACCCGGAAACCCAAAACACCCCTAAACCCTCTAACCCGATGAAAAACCACCCAGAAACCACAAGACCCAAAACCCTACATCCTAAACCCTAAACCCTAAACCCTAAACCCTATAAACCCTCTAACCCCGAAACCCTAAAGCCCGTTGTTTGGTGGCCGCAGGGCGAGGCCGAGACTGCCTCCGAGGGCACTGCAGAGCTTGCGGAACTGGAGGTGCCATCCGCGGCTGCGCAGGAGGTCGGAGGGTTTAGGGTTTAGGGTTTAGGGTTTAGGGTTTAGGGTTTAGGGTTTAGGGTTTAGGGTTTAGGGTTTAGGGTTTAGGGCGGGTTCTGAGCCTCGAAGCCCAAAGAAAGCCTGAAAGAAGAGGTTTTGGGTTTGGAAAGCAAGGCTTTCAGTGTAGACGATTAAAGTTAGGGGAGCTCGGCTAGGGTAGCTCGGGTGTAGGGTTTAGGGTTTAGGGTTTAGGGTGTAGGGTCTAGGGTTTAGGGTTTAGGGTTTAGGGTTTAGTTGCCAGTTCAGGCCCCTGTTGGCACACGTCTCGCAACGGCTGCAGGATTTGGGGCTTAGGGTTTAGGGCTGGGGTCATGCGGGCCAGGCGCCGTGAAGTTAGTGCAAGGTATTGACCTTAACTCGTCTAGAAAACAGGCGACGACGCGCATTCGCCATACATGTTCCTGCAAAAGTTGCTAGGATCTGCCTGAAGAGAGGCTGCAGAAGCAGAGGTTTTAAGCAGAATATCAGAAAAGCTAGAACGTCGACGATGAAGGGACGAGCTCTTCAGCTATCTCCTTAAACCCAAACCCTAAACCCTAAACCCCAAACCTTAAACAGCAAACCCTAGTCTTCAGCCCAAGCTTGTTGTGTAGAGGCCTCGGGGGCAATCTCCACCGGAGGATGCGAGGAGGACGAGGAGGAGGAGGAGGCTTCCCAGTAACCCTAAGCTAGATGGGGGAGGGGGTTAAAAGGGTTTATAGGGTTCATAGGGTTTACAGGGTTTGTAGGGTTTATAGGGTTTATAGGGTTTATAGGGTTTATAGGGTCTAGGGTTCGGGTACAGATGAGGGAGGGGAGGCTTTTTATGGACAGTGTGGTAGGAGGCGTCGCGGTAGCCGGCAAAGCTCTTAGAGGTTTGCGCATACGGTGCCATCTTCCCAAACATGTGTCCCAAACATACCATGAAGACCCGCCCTTTGAAGCCGCGACCTGCGCCCTCCTCCCCTTCTAAGGGTCCTCTCAGTCTCCTAAATCCTAAACCCTAAACCCCAAACCCCAAACCCTAAACCCTAAACTCTGTCCTCCGGACGTCCAGGCCGTAACCCCAAGCTGCGCCTCAGACCACGGCTCTGTGGAGTCCTTCCGTTCCCTAGAGGCCGTAATTGGAATCTGTTTTGTTGGTAGGGTTTCGGGTTTTGGGTTTTGGGTTTAGGGTTTAAGGTTTATAGGGTTTAGGGTTTAGGGTTCAGGGTTCAGGGTTCAGGGTTCAGGGTTCAGGGTTTAGGGTTTAGGGTTTAGGGTTTAGGAGACCTTTTCAGGTTAAGGGGCCATTTCGGCACATCAGAAGACCCAACAGGGCCTGAAACCTCGTGAGCCTTGTGATACTTACTGGCTCAAAACCCAACTTTTCATATGGGCTTCCTATAAGGTAGTCTATTCTGAAAGTTTCAACTTTTATTTCCTTGGGTTTTGGGCCAGTAAGCCTTACCCTAGACCAGACCCTACATGAATCGACATTACACCTCCTTAGATAACCCTATGAAAACTTATTCATGAGCCCTGAAGCCCATCTTAGAAGCCCTCAAAGATAAGTATTTCTCCATGCCTCTGGGCGCTGTGCAGAGGGGAACCGGTGGTTCTGGGTGTTGAGTCGTCGTAGTCTTGAGGACCGGAGCCTTGCCACGCCTGAGTGAGAGCCGGGGTTTAGGGTTTAGGGTTTAGGGTTTAGGGTTTCAAGAGAGGTGGGAATGCGGAAACTGAGGTTCTGCTCCCGAGGTCGCAGAGGACGATGGCTGCTGGGACGACGGAGGCTTTGGGTTCAAGGCATCTTCTGGGTTTAGGGTTTAGGGTTTAGGGTTGAGGGTTTAGGGTTTAGGGTTTAGGGTTTAGGGTTTAGGTTAGGGTAGCTAGAGAAAGAGGTTTCAGGGCCTTGGGCAGGGCCTTTTTTGCAGGGGAACTCCGCTCCTGAAACTCAGGCTTGGGGGGCTTAGGGCTTTGGGTTTAGGCTTTGGGCTCTTTGGGTTTAGGGTTTAGAGTTTAGGGTTTAGGGTTTAAAAGTCCCTTCCTGAATCGCTCCTTACCCATGTCTGAGGACCGGACAAGCCGCTACTCTTGATGGAGCTGGGAAGCCAATCGCATCGTGGCCAGAGTCTGGGGTTGGGGTTGTAAGGTTGAGGGGTCGAACGCCTCTTTGAGGGGTATAGGCTAAACGGCTTAGGGGGTGTTTTAGAGTTGAAGAAAGGGGTCGAAACAATTTCTAATAGTACTCCCTTATGGTCCCCTTGCACTTATACTACAAGAGCCCGCCCCCCCAAACCCTATTCTAATCCCTAAACCCTAAACCCTAAACCCTAAACCCTAAACCCTAAACCCTAAACCCTAAACCCTAAACATTCAGGCCCCTTTGGTAGAGGTTTTGGGTTTGGAGGTTTAGATGTCAGCTTGCGGGTGTTGGGATTAAAGGGATCTCGAGGTTGAGTCGTCCTTTTATGGCTTACTGGCCCTAAACCCTAAACCCTAAACCCTAAACCCTAAACCCTAAACCCTAAACCCTAAACCCTAAACCCTACTGTTTCAACTCTTGGGCTTCCTGTAAGGTAGCTTATTCTGAAAGTTTCAGCTTTTATTTCCTTGGGGTTTTGGGTAAGTTGGTGCCCTCCGCCGACTCGGTACCTTTTGTTTTGGGTTTAGGGCTTAGGGTTTGGGGTTTAGGGTTTAGGCTTTAGGCTTTAGGCTTTAGGCTTTAGGCTTTAGGCTTTAGGCTTTAGGGATCAGGGTTTAGGGTTTAGGGTTTAGGGTTTAGGGTTGAGATAGTCCCGTGGCGGACCTCCAGGACCTCGGTCGCGGGAATCCTTTTGCTTGCCACCCTCATATCCTGGGTTCCCCTACTGCCCCCCTCTATACTACCCCCTAGGCTGTTTAGGGACACCTAAGTGTAATTTAGGATATTTAAGGGGGGAGGCTAGGGGGGGTAGCAAAGAGGCGGGTAGTAGGGGAACCTATGAGCAACTAGCTTGAGAAAGTTCTTCCGTCCTCCCAACAAGTCGCTCTACGGTCAGAAGCAAGTAGTCCACGCCCAATTGGCATGATCCTCACATTGGGAACTAAGCTCCAAGGCCCACTCCTAGGTCCTAAGCCCTAAACCCTAAACCCTAAACCCTAAACCCTAAACCACTCAAGGTACGAGCTCATTTGTTCGGCTCTGCCCTGCAAAGAGCTCTATGCCCTGCGCGTGGTCTCTGCGTCCTCGAGGGCGGATACGAACAGGGAAATTGAGGAGAGGGTTTAGGGTTTAGGGTTTAGGGTTTAGGGTTTAGGGTTTAGGGTTTAGGGTTTAGGGTTTAGGGTTTAGGGTTTAGGGTTTAGGGTTTAGGGATATCTGTGATTACATCGGCTTACGTGGGGTGTGTTAGGCATAAGTACCGACTTGAAGGTTTTGTTGGGCATGTATTGTAGGTTGGTTCTCCTTCATACCTAAACCCTAAACCCTAAACCCTAAACCCTAAACCCTAAACCCTAAACCCTAAACCCTAAACCCTAAACCCTAAAGTTGCCCTACCCATAGCCCCTCTTACAGCTGCCCACGAAAACATCTAGCAGACCGGGCGACTTCGCAATCGTACATGGGCATTTCCCAAAATAGGGGTACCCCTGTCATACCCCAAACAGAAGTGAATCCCCTTAGCCTTAAAGAAAGCACCAAACAGGGTACCGCTATTTTCGAAAGTTTACAGGACACCTTTTGGGGAGCTGGGGGGGGGTCCTGCGACAAAGGATTGTGCAAGGTACCCCGGTACTGACCCTGATTTCAAGCAACTCCCAACATTGTCTAGCCCTAAACCCTAAACCCTAAACCCTAAAGCTAGGCGGGTGGCAAAAAAAAAAACCTAAACCCAAAAAAAAACCACGGAATTGCGGAGAGGAGCGGCTGAAATCCCTCTGGCTCGGGGCTCGCTCGCGGGCAGAGTCCCCACCGGCCACGTGGCGGCGCTGAGTTTTGTTCCGGATGATGGGAGGAGGTTGGGTTTGGCTTGCAGGGTTGCCCGCCTAAACCCTAAATCCTTATCCCCCTATACCCTAATCCCTAAACCCCATTCGCTCTTCGGAGATGGTGCTGCAGAAGCCCTAAACCTTTGTAGAGTTTAAGGGTGCAACTGCTTCTGGAGCATGATGGGCAAGGCAGTGAAAGCGTGGGACTGCTTTCCAATCCAGAGGGTTTAGGGTTTAGGCTTTAGGGTTTAGGGTGTAGGTTTAGGGTTTAGGGTATTCACCTTTTGGGAAGCAAGTCGGAGGTGTACTCTTTGCAGCTTCAAGCCTAAGCTCTCCTCTTGCTCTCTGCAGAAATGCAGCGTTTTTCAAGTTTCAAATTCTTTTCCACAGTTTCAAATTAGTTTCAAAAATAGTTGGAAAATCCAGTTGCAAAATCGCTGTTAAGGGGAAACTGCATTTTTGGAGGCGCAGTTCCAAAAAACACAGCAATCTCAGAGGTTCCTGGTTTTCAAGAAGCGCGGACAGACATTGCAGTTCCCCTTGACAGCGATTTTGCAACTGGATTTTGAAACTAATTTGAAACTGATTGGGAACTGTTTGAAACTATGGAAACGAATTTGAAACTTGAAAAATGACTTTCTACCCCCATCCTGGCCCCTCACACACGGCCACGGGAAGTTGACTTTGGTCAGCCGTGACTAGAAACCAGAGCTTCCGAAAGCTTGCCAGTCTCCAGACTGTTGATGGACGAAATCCTGCATCACTTTCATTACGCAGGTCATCCCTTCCAAACTCTGAATCTTGACGTTGCTGTCCTTGCAATGCTTCGAAAGGGCATGTGTGTGAATGACCGAAATCCTGCATCATCCACATGCGCTCACAACATTGAAATTCGAGGGGCGCGGGGAGCTCGATTACCAACCGTCGCACACGTGTGTAGCGTAGGGGTCATGCAAGATTTTGTCCTTCCACAGTATCACCACCGTGAGAGGTACCAAGCATATTGCCATCCAGGTGTTTTGGGCCTGTGTGCGATGAGCTTGTACGCTCCAGCCATTTTGCTCAAGGCTGCAAGTCAGGTTTTCAGCTGTGTGCACGGGAGATCTTCGACTTCATGGTGAACACGCCATGAGTGATCCAGCAATGCATCCATCAGGAAGTCTGGCTTTGCCAGAGTTCATCGAGATGCTGGAGTGCCGGGATGATGCGAGTCGGGTAGCAGCCCTTGAGTTCGTCAACCGTGGGGTCTTTGAGACGACTGATGAGAATGAAGCCAAGACGCTGTTCCGTAGAGTCATCTCGATGCTAGGTGACCCCGCTTGGGAGGTCAAGAGAGCTGCAATCCATTTGCTCTCCGAGCTGGCTTCACAGTTCGACCGCGGCACTGTGCAGAGCCTGATCCGAGCGCTCTCCCACCCCGACCCTGCAATACAGATGACGGTTGCTTGCGTTCTGAGACATGTGGAGGGTGCAGAGGACCTCTGCCATCTCCTAGATGACCGGTCGACAGTTGAAGCGGCTGTGAGTCACCAAGGGGGACTCCTGGAGTTCGCTGGTGCAAGCTTCCGGGGAGGCCGGGACATTGTCCTGGCAGCTGTGAGGCAAGATGGGCAGTCGTTGAAGTATGCGAATCCCAACTTGTGTAGTGATGAAGAGATCGTGCTCGCCGCGGTCGCCCAGAGTGGAGCGGCGGTTCACTTCGTCAGCCAGGAAACCATCGCCAAGCACGCAGGTCTCCGCGCCCTGCATGAGGGACGAGGTCTCGCCTTGTATGGTGACTACCTGGTACTGGAGGTCCTCTGCAAGGGTACCTTCAGCGAAGTAGCAAGAGCCGAGCACGTGCGCACGAAAGATGTCGTGGCCATGAAGAAGGTGTCGTTGGACCGCATCCGAGCCGACAGGGTGCGGGAGGCGGCGCTGCTTCACAACTTCAGGCATCCCAATGTGGTGCGTCTGCTCGATGTGGAGGTGGTCTGTAGTGACATTCGGATGGCCTTCGATTTTCACCCGACGGACCTTCACAAGGTGCTCATGCTGCATGTGCAGAGTTCCCACTACCTGCCAATTGAGCAAGTTAGACAATTCTCCGAGGACATCCTGAATGGCCTGTCTGCATGCCACACCAGGCACCTTCTTCACCGAGACCTGAAGCCTCGGAACATTCGCCTGGGCATCGACGGCGTCCTGAAGATAGCAGGCTTTGGCCAGGCGCGGGAGTGTTCTGAGCAAGCGTTGACGCTGGAAGTGGTGACGCTTTGGTACAGGAGTCCAGAACTCCTCCTCGGTGCTACAAGTTATGGATTTGAAGTGGACTGCTGGTCGGCAGGCTGCATTATCGCGGAGATGTGCACCGGCCGCCCATTGTTCCCAGGTGACTCCGAAGTTGGCACGTTGTTTAAGATCTTCCAGCTGGTGGGCACGCCGTCAGCAACGAATTGGCCACAGGGCACGCAGCTCCACCATTTCCGACGCGCATTCCCGAAGTGGCCAGAGACTGGACTGAAGCCCATTTTCGCTGTGCGCCCGGAGCTTTATGCTCATGGCGGCGATGAACTCCTCAGCGGCCTGCTGTGCCTGCAGCCTGACCGACGTCTATCAGCAAGACAGGCACACGGCCATCGCTTCTGCAGGCAATGACCTTTTGTGTGGCTTGCGTACGCTTGAGGCTTGCTGAGTTGTAGAGAAGGGAACCTTGAACTTGAACCTTCTTGGGGGCAATACTGTTTCCCTGCTTAGTTGTCGAGTAGGTAACCTTGATTCTTTTGGGGGTAGCATACGTTACGACTTATAGAAGTTTCGGGTTCTTTGAAATTCATATTAAGGGAGCCAAAAGTTAAACTTTTATTGGGGGGGTTAAAGACTTACTGGCTAAAAACCCAACTTTTCAACTTTTGGGCTTCCTATAAGGTAGTCTATTCTGAAAGTTTCAACTTTTATTTCCTTGGGTTTTGGGCCAGTAAGAAGAGCAACCAAGAATCCCAAAAGGTTTACCTTAGTTCCCCTAGGTATGGGACAACTAGGCTTAAGATTGCGCTTTGGGGATGGTCCTAAACCCTAAACCCTAAACCCTAAACCCTAAACCCTAAACCCTAAACCCTAAACCCTAAACCCGGAAGATGCATGCCATGAGGCCATGGAGCTCCATCTCTCACTGGGCTTTGGAGTGCTATACTTCAATACTTGTTTTTTGGCCCTAGGAACTTCCTAGTATAGCAACTTACACCTAGCTGAACCCTAAAATTGGGGTTATATATATATATACCCTATGCTACTATAGTCCCTATTAAGGTATATGAACCCCAAGTCTATACTTTCGTCCAGGGTCTGTTCCGAAGTAGGGCTGAACTAGCCTAGTCCTAGACGATGAACTCAAGCAGTTTCAAGTGGTACTGCGGTGCGCGTGAGGCCATGAGACACGCCAGTCGAAGAAGCTAGGTACTGGAATCCGACACCACAGGGAAAACCCTAAACCCTAACCCTAAATGGAAGTAAGAACCGGAGCAATGACAGCGACTTCTGCCCCAGAGTCCTTGTGCCGAATTCCCTGGCCTGACCGGACAGCCCGGTGAAGGCTTAGAGATTAAGATGTTCCTGACCCCGGTGAAGGCTTAGAGATTAAGATGTTCCCCCTTATGCTAGCAGTCGTTTAGGGTTTAGGGTTTAGGGTTTAGGGTTTAGGGTTTAGGGTGTAGGGTTTAGGGTCCTTAATAGGGATAACAGTAGGGGGTACTATAATCCCGATTAAGGATTGTTAGCAAAAGGAGGAACATCCCAGTTTAGAGACGAAGTGAAGGCGACGGCAAGAAGGGGTGCCCTCTACGGCTGCAAGTTCCAGCGAAGAGTTAGGGTGGATGTTGCTCTGTACTGGGAAGGTCGGTTAGACTCCGCAATAAACCCTAAACCCCAAACCCTAAATCCTAAACCCTAAACCCTAAGTTGGGTGTCTGGTCGCGAGCCTGCTGTGAACTTGCGTCCACCGACTGTGAGACCCCCTTGGAGAAGCCCCGAACTCCTGCAATCTTTTGGACGAAATGAACCCGAAAATTGGGGGTCATATACCCTAAATCCGAAACCCTAAACCCTAAACCCTAAACCCTAAACCCTAAACCCTAAACCCTAAAATTATGGACCTCAAACCTTTTTAGGGCGCATTGCGTCCGAAAGGATGAGGGTTCTTCCGCACCGGGGCCTGAAAGCATCGAGACGTGTGTCCCAAAGAGGCCTTGTGTGTGGTCTATTCGTGGCTTCCTCACTGCTTAGCTGCCTACCGGCATGGGCTATCAGGGTGTGGGGTTTCGGGTTTAGGGTTTTGGGGTTGAGGGTTTAGGGTCTATAACCCCTTTAAAAGGCCCTGTATAGGGTTGAGTATGGAGTTAGATGACCGAACAGCGCATCTTGGTAGGCGGCGGTGCTTGGGAACAGCCATCTATGAAAACTGTGGAATGCATGCCTTGTCGAATGGCCATTGGCTTCACAACGGCTAGTACCTTTAGAACCGGGTTTCCTTTGCCATTCCACAGTTGAAGCACCGGAGTGTGCGCACGTGTAGTTCTGCCTGTGGAACGCATGCCTCGCGCATGGCCATTGACTATGGAACCCTAAACCCGAAACCCTGAACCCCAAACCCTAAACCCTAAACCCTAAACCCTAAACCCTATTGCTAGAGCAACCAACTCCTGGTATCTTTAGGACCGGGTCTCGGTTGATGCGCCAATGTGCAGGCTGCAGGCACAGCCAGCCACTACTTGTTTCTGGAGTTTCACTGGAGCGAGCGCGTACTTGGAGGTTCATGGTACGTATTCACCCAATTATAACTGTACTTATAACCCACTTATAAGCCCCTTGAGTGCCTTAAGATGGTTATAAGTATAGTTGTAAGTACAGCTGTAATTGATTAAGAAGTGCCATGAACCTCCAAGTAGTTCCCCAATACCCTGCATGCCTTGGCGCGGCCATTGTCTTCACAATTGCATGCAATGACCCCGTGTGTTTAGGAACGGGTTCCCTAAACCCGAAACCTTGAACCCTAAACGCTAAACCCTAAACCCTACGCTCTAAACTCTAAACCTTGCCGTTCCACTGTTTAGGCGCCAACGCGCAGGCTCCAATCACATTGCACATCCATGCCACAGCTGCGACTCTGTAGCTCTGCCTGTGGAAGCATGCTTTCGCACGGCCATCGACGTTCGCAATCGGTGCAATTACTTGCTCGTATCTTTAGGACTTTCACCATTCTGCAGTGCAAGCGTCAATGTGCAAGGCTGCAATCACAGAGCTCGGCCACTTATTCTTGTTGTAGGTTGCGTGCACACTGGAAGGTGTCGCAAGCAAAGGACGTGCACTGTCCGATGCCAGCGACGAGAGTCTTCGACCCCTATAGAAGGAATCCGCTTGTAATCAGGACCCCAATCTTAAGTACCCTACTTTCGGAAACTCCCATATACAGAGCTTCAGCTTAGGCGTGTTTGGTCGCGCCTGGCGCGACCGAAGGAAGACTTGACCTGATATCCGATGCGCGCACGCGTGATTGCGCCAGCGATTGCGCAAATTGGCTGGTCTTTTCTGCGAGGCCAGGCTGGTGCCCTTAGGCGACACCGCAACAGGAGGTGTCATGGAATGCGTCCGGCCTGGGGCTTGTCACAGATGTTTGGAGGACTTTTTGGGAAATGTCCCTGCCGGAGTCAGCTAGGCGAGTGGCAAAAAAGCACCCTTCTCCTCTGCACACCTTCCACTGCTTCTTTGGCCTGGTAGCCCAGTCGTAGCCTTTTTCCCCCCAAAAACAAGGGTGCCCTTATTAGAATATGGTTACTCTAAACCCTAAACCCTAAACCCTAAACCCTAAACCCTAAACCTGTGCAGGAGGGAAAAACCCTAAACCCTAAACGTGGTTACTGGGCTAGCAAGTTGGCCAAGGTCAGCCCCAAGAATGAAGCAGCTCGAGCCCCTTCCGTGGAAGAGACGCCCGTGAAGCTGAACATCTACGACGTGACGAACAATCCCACGGTGGGGTTTAGGGTTTAGGGTTTAGGGTGAGGGGTCTTGGGTAGGGCGTACAGTAGGACAATTTCGGGTGGGCACTAGTGGCTTCCCTCCAGAAGCCCTTTACTGTCCAAAACGAGGGAAACTACCAGCAACTAGATTTTTATGGGACCATAAGGGAAACGGTTTGCAATGATTCCGACCCTACATTTACCGGCAGCTGTCCTTTGGTACGGGCTTTTGCTCTTCGGGCTTCGGTGCTGGGTCGGCAATCCCAGGCCCAAATCGGAGACATGTGCATCATCGCTTGACGCTGGCTGTGATGCATTCCGAAGGATGTAGGGTTTCAGGGCCGGGGTAACATGAAAACAACCGCAAGGTTCAGGGCCCTAAACCCTAAACCCTAAACCCTAAACCCTAAACCCTAAACCCTAAACCCTAAACCCTCGGGGGTATGGCAAGCGCGCCTTGCAGGTTCAGTGGATCAACAGCCTTTTCGCCAACCAGTACTCGCCCGTGAAGTTTGGCAACTCGGCAGCTCTGAAGCCCCCGGCATGAGCACGAATCCCAACCCTAAACCCTAAACCCTAAACCCTAAACCCTAAACCCCAAACCCTAAACCCTAAACCCTAAACCCTTAGACCCTTGGTGGCCCAGTGCTACCCTTTACCCTTTTTTGGGGTTCTGGGTTCCCTTTTAAAATAAGCTAGCCGTTAGAATATGGTTACTGGGCTACCAAGGACGCTAAACCCTACCTGGACCCCCAAAGTATGTAAACAAAACAGCCCAAAACCCTTAAAAGGGCAATGATTTTACATATTGTTGGGGTTGAGGTAAGCCCTATAAATTGTTAGGGGTTCAGGGTTTATCGGGCACTTCCCGATCTCGAAGCACCGATGGCAGCCCAAGATGTTAAACCGTCATGCAGTATATCCCTATGTGCCCACTTGGAGGTTCATGGTACTTATTAACAAGTTGTAACTGTATTTATAACTGTACTTGCAACCATATGAGGGCACTTAAGGGGCTTGTAAGTGGCTTGTAAGTACAGTTATAATTGGTTAATAGGTACCATGAACCTCCAAGCAAGACCCACACAGAATAAGGTCTTTGGGGCCCAAAACAGATGAAGTGCCTAAAATAATAAGCTTGGGCCCTTAGGGTATTTGTTTTCCCTAAACCCTGAAGATCAGATTGGAGATGGCTACCCCCCAGAGCGACCCTGAGCCCCTCAGACTGTGTGTTTTTTTTTGAACGGGGCTTGAACAAGAGAGCTCATGTACAGTACATGCATAGAATTAGATATATATATATATATATACATATGTATACATACATCTGGTAGAGCACATGGTTTCCTTCAAATTTCTGAATACAGGCAACCCCCTGAACAAAAGTCAATCGCCGAATAAGAATCCGCTACCTGAGGCGGGATTTTCCATGTCGGCGTGCAGATTGGTTCCCGGGAGTGTCCCGGCTGATCAGTTTTTGAAAGTGTTCTTCCGGGTTTAGAGTTAGAGTCAGAGGGTTCAAGGGGGGTGTATAACCCGGTTCCCCAATACACCCTACTACACCCTAAGGCTCTCCTACCCCCCTTGAAACCCCCCTCCTTTAAGAACCCTATCAATTTTGACCCGCTCGCAGACAACCTTCTGCCCCCATTCGCGGGCATGCATTAGGGTTTAGGGTTTAGGGTATAGGGAGCTTCTGTTTGTTGCAGCTTGCGAACCCCCAAGCACCGAAGTCCTAAACCTTACCCCGCCCCCCCCCCCCCCCAACAAAAGAAAACAAAATCAAGGGGTATATCACCTATATGCCGTATATAGTCCCTGTATCTCTAAGTAGTCCCCTAAAAGACCCCTAAAGAACGCCTAAGGTCCCTTGTAAGGGTCCCTCCTTTAGTCCCTTGACAAAAGGAGCGGGATTCCCTTTCCCAGATTTAGGACTCTGGTCGCCCAGGCAGCTGGTTCGTTCCCCTTAACTACTTGGCAGCCCAGTGGTACCCTTTTCCCTTTTTTGGGTTCAAGGTTACCTTATGAAGCAACCAGCCCAAAAAGGGTGCCCTTATTATAACATGGTTACTGGGCTACTACGACTACCATTTGCTTCAGACCCCCTCTATTTCATATTCCTCCTTCTAAGGCCAATATACGGATTGCCATCAATAGTTTTTGCCGGTGCCCTAAACCCTAAACCATAATCCTTAATCCCTAAGCCCTGAGCCCTAAACCCTAATAGTAGCTGGGCCCAAGCCCCTATCGATTCCGATCATGAAGCCCCCCCCCCCCCCCCTCCCGCCCCAACAAAATCCTGGAAGAAGCTTCAAGCTCACTCTGAGAAGCCCGGGGCCCTGGCAGAAGAACCTACGCCCTAAACCCTAAACCCTAAACCCTAAACCCTAAACCCTAAACCCTAAACCCTAAACCCTGAACCCTGAACCCTGAACCCTGAACCCTGAACCCTGAACCCTGAACCCTGAACACTGAACCCTACGTGCGGTCTCAAGGTGGGCCTTCGGCTACAAGCCCTCGGGCACCGGAGTCTTCTGGACACAGAGGGCTTTGAGGGTTTAGGGTCTAGGGTTTAGGGTTTAGGGTTTAGGGTTTAGGGTTTAGGGTTTAGGGTCTAGGGTTTAGGCTCTGAGGGCTTGGAGGGTTTAGGGAAGTGGGACTTCGTTTCTGGCAGTCACCAAGTCCCAGTTGGAAAAGGGTTTTGGGTTTAGTTAGGTTGGTTTATAGGGTTTTTCTAAGTTGTTTAAGGGTTTTTTTCAGGGTTGTGTTTAAGAGATTTGTAGGGTTTTGGTTATAGGGTGGTTTCTGGGGTTGTTATAGGGTGTTTTGGGGTTGTGTAGGGTATTTGCAGGGCTTTATGGGTTTTCATAGGGTTTTATAGGGTTTCATATTGCTTCTAGAGAGTGTCATAAGGTATGCGCTTCTTATAGGGTTTAAAAGGTTTATAGGGCTTGTAGGGTTTTTACAAGGTTTCATGGGGTTTTATAGGGTTTGTATAGGGCTTTATTGGGTTTTTATAGGGTTTCATAGGGCGTATTGGCTTTTTAGGGTTCTCTGGATCCCCGTTATAGCACAACTCTAAACTCTAAACTCTCAACTGCCCTAAACTAAGCCTTCAACCCTCAGTTATACCAGGGATCCCTGCAGAGGGTTTAGGGTTTAGGGAGTAGGGGCCCTCAATTATTGAGGGGGAAGCAAAAACGAATCTCAACTTGCCCAAACGCCCCCACGACCGCCACCCGTGCCCCGGTAGACCCTAAGCAGCCTAAAACCTAGCCAACCTTAGCCCACCGTGCGTGTAAACCCGAAGCCCTAAGCCCTAAACCCTAAACCCTAAACCCTAAACCCTAAATCCTTCCAGGACTCCGCCGCTCTTCGCGGGAGCCCACCACTTTCGAGAGACGATCGACATGCAGCAGGGCCTTGAACTGAGGCTTTAAGGTTTTGAGGAGGGTTTACAGTTTAGGGTTTGGGGTTTAGGGTTTAGGGTTTGGGGTTTAGGGTTTAGGGTTTAGGGTTTGGGGTTTAGGGTTTAGGGTTTAGGGTTTAGCTTTTCCTAAACCCTAAACCTGAAGACGGGACCCCATCTGTGCCAGCTGGCTGAAGAGCGTGGGTTCAAAAAATGGGTGTTGCAGGTTTTGGGTCCAGCGAGGGTTGCTGCAGCCTTTCTTGAGGGCAGGCCACATACTACGAGTCATTGGGTTAAACCCTAAACCCTAAACCCCAAACCCTAAACCCTAAACCAGCGAAGGCCGCCAACGACACTTTCCCGGACAGAGATTGCAGAGGTCATGACCAGCTTGGACTCCCGCCCTAGACTTCGTTTCGGGCTCTGGGTCGGGAACCTTCACCCGAAGTTTAGGGTTTAGGGTTTAGGGTTCAGGGTTTAGGGTTTAGGGTTGAGGGTTTACGGTTTGGGGTTCAGGGCTTAGGGTTTAGGGTTTTCGGTCGGGATAACTACTAGCAGTATTCCCTTAGGGTCTCGTTGCAGTTATACTGTAAGCACCCCCAAAATTAAAAGCCTCATTCTATTGGAGCCGAGCGAAGATCCTCAGCCATGAGCGAAGAGACGCACGGATGGCCTCCTCTACGTCCCAGACCAACCCGTCTGCGGGCCGTTTAAGCTTTAGGGTTTAGGGTTTAGGGTTTAGGGTTTAGGAAGGCAGCATGTGCTGTTTCCTCACTCCTTGCAGGGAATACATGTCCTTTCCCGGCACTGCATAGGATGCCTGCCTTTGCGACTTCCCCACGAAGAGAGCCCCTAAACCCCAAGCCCTAAACCCTAAACCCTCAGCCCGGAAGGAAGCCAAATGGAGCGGGCCCAGCTACAGCGTTTTCCGGCGGAACTGCTGTCACTTTGCTGACGAGGCAGTGGCTGAACTCAACAACCATCTATCGGAGCTGAGTAGATAGATGTTTAGGGTTTAGGGTTTAGGGTTTAGGGTTTAGGGTTTAGAGTTAGGTTCCTGCCTGCCAGGTGTGCGAGCTCCTTGGCGTGGGCAGCATCCCAGAGTGGACCTACCGCTCCTCGGGGGGCATAGGAGGTTTAGAGTTTAGGGGTTAGGGTTTAGGGTTTAGGGTTTAGGGGTTAGGGTTTAGGGTTTAGGGTTTAGGGTGTGTCAGGGGAGGGCGCGCGCTCGGGTGTGAAACGCCGCGGGTCGCGCGCTCGCGTTGCCCGTCAACCCACCCCGGCCACCCAAACTATACTCCATTAGGGTTTAGGGTTTATGGTTTTTACTTATTGTGCTCTGATGCTTGCTTTGATGTTTTTAAAGTTGCGCTGTTAGGGTTTAAGCTGGGGTTGGGGGTAGCCTCGGCCCTTTTGGGGCCTTCGGCTATCAGGGCCCGTAGAGGCCCTTATTTATTTGAAGGTCAGGGAAGTGTTTGTGCTTGCTCCTGGATTCCCCTTCTTTAAGGGCCTCAATTAAGTTGGTGGCTCTTGGGGCCTTTTAGGGGCTTCCTGGGGGCCTTCCTGGCCTTTTCGGGGAAAAAAGAAGGAAAAAACCGTCGATTTCAGAACCAAAAAATCGCATTTTTCATTGCGGGTACGGGCATCCTGGGGTCCCCCTTCTTTTAGGGGGCCTTTTGAAGCCTTTTGAAGCCTTTTGGTGGCTCTTGGGGTCTCTCGGGGCCTTGTTCGGACCTTCGGCGTGTCAGGGGCCGTAGAGGCTTTATTCATTTGAAGGTCAAGGAACCTATTAGTGTTTTTTCGCCAATGAGTATTTCAATGGCTAGGGTTTAAGCTGGGGTTCGGGGTAGCCTCGGCCCTTTTCGGGCCTTCGGCAAGTTAGGGCCCATAGAGGCCCTTATTTGCTTGAAGGCCTTCGCAGGGTTTTGCGGTGTTAGGGTTTAAGCTGGGGCTCGGGGTAGCCTCGGCCCTTTGCGGGCCTTCGGCACGTTAGGGCCCGTAGAGGCCCTTATTTGCTTGAAGGCCGTCGCAGGGTTTTGCAATAGGGTTTAGGGTTTAGGGGTTAGGGTTTAGGGTTTAGGGGGTCAGATGTAAAAAAGGGGATCTAGGGTTTAGGGTTCAGGGGGGTAGGTCTATTTTTCTTCTTGTGGTTGGACGCTTTACTGCTCTAGGGCTTGCAGGGCATCGGGTTGGCTTGTAAGGTTTAGGGTTGAGATAACCCTAAACCCTAAACCTAAACCCCAAACCCATCATGGCACGTCCAGTAGGAAAAGCGGGCTTCCGAGTCCGTTTATCGAGAGGCCGCAACGCAACGACCACCTTGGGCGCGAGCAGGGCCCTTCACCGTGAAGTAGGGCAAGAAATCAACAGACCCAGTTTTCTTGGTTTTTGTCAATATGCTTTTGGTGGTATCGGAGTCATAGGGGTTAGGGTTTAGGGTTTAGGGTTTAGGGTTCTTGACTGTTAGCATTTTTTCCTTCAGTCACATGACGAGGGTGTACACCTGTTGATTTTACAAGGGGTTGGCACTGTTCTCATTGAGCCCTACGGCGGCGCTGGTGCGAGTCCTCCGTGGTTTAGGGTGTAGTGTCTCCCTAGACCCTTAACCCGAAGCCCTATAAACCCTAAACCCTAAACCCTAAACCCTAAGCTACAAAAGGTTTTGGGGTCATCTCAACCCGAGGCCTGGCCAACATCGGCAGCACGGCGGCCGAGGTGAGCGTATATCGCCGTAAGACTTCCCAAGAGCAACGGCTACCCTGAGCTAGGGTTTAGGGTTTAGGGTTGAGGGTTGAGGGTTTAGGGCTACCCCGAGCTTAGCCAAAGGGACGATGCACCTCTATACTGCATACTTGGGCCCACAAAGGGTTCCTACATAGTAGCTTAATAAGGGCCCAAGTATGTACTATATGGGTACATGGAACCTTAGGGTTAGATAGCCCAGTTGTACCCCTTTGCACCCTTTTTGGGTGTTGTGGTGCCCTCAGAGCAGTCACCCAGGCCCTCAAGAAGGGTTTAGGGTTTAGGGTTAGGATTTAGGGTTTAGGGTTTAGTGTTTTGGGCCTAGGGTTTAAGGTTTAGGGTTTAGGGTTTAGGGCTTAGGGTTTATGGCTTGGGGTTCAGGATTCTTTAGTGCAGGGTGCGTTCGATTTGGTACCGGCGCAAGCTCTTTCGTTACATGAGTGGTCTACAACGCCGTGTCGGGGCCATGTGGAACTTCGTTTTAACCCCCAACCCTAAACCCCAAACCCCAAACCCTAAACCCTAAACCCTCAACCCTCAACCCTAAACCTTCATGCCTGTCATTACACCGGAAGACATCGCCATGAACTGCGGGCTGGTCATCACCCAGGCTCAAGGCCATGACGTTTAGAGCACGAGGATGCTTTTGGGCCTTGGGGCATGTCATTGCAGACCTTTAGGGCTTTGGGGTTCAGGGTTTCTAGGGTCTAGGGATAGGGTTTAGGGTTTAGGGTTTAGGGTTTAGGGTTTAGGGTTTAGGGTTTAGGGTTTAGGGTTACCCCTTTGTACCCAGGGAGAAACACCAGGGCTCTCGAGATTCGGGCAAGCTCAAAGCCCGAACCTGAAGTCCCCGAAATCTCATCCTTGCGCCTTGAGCGGGCGCAAGACCCTAACCCCTCAACCCCTCAACCCCTCAACCCCTAAACCCCTAAACCCCTCAACCCCTCAACCCCTCAACCCCTAAACCCCTAAACCCCTAAACCCCTAAACCCCTAAACCCCTAAACCCCTAAACCCTAAACCCTAAACCCTAAACCTTCCGTCTTCAAGAGCAAGATGGAGGGCCATGGGCAGGATGCAGGCGAGGACCCAGGCGAAGTGCGCTTCCAGAAACTTACCTAGCCAATACTTGAACTTTAAAACTTTATGGGTTTAGGGTTTAGGGTTTGGGGTTTAGGGTTTAGGGTTGAGAGTTTAGGGTTTGGGGTTTAGGGTTTAGGGTTTAGGGTTTAGGGGAAACCTATTTTTCCCTTGGTTATTGGAGAAGCAAGGAAGACGCTGTCGCAAGCCTTGCGCCCGCCAGACAAGCTGCTGAGAATGGTTCTCAGCAAGGGGTTTGGGGAATAGGTTGATTTGAGGGTTTAGGGCTTAGGGTTCAGGGCTTAGGGTTTAGGGTTTAGGGTAAGAAGGGTAGGAAGGGTAAGAAGGGCAAGAAGGGTAGAAGGGTTCCAATAGGAGGGATCTAAGGCACCTCACTCCCCAGTCCCTATGAAGACCTTGAGGCTGTCTGCCATGGCGGCCTGGTTCGTGGTGGTTCTCACAGCCGTTGGCATGGCGCTGGCCAACCTTTTCACCGTGCACCTTAGAGACGCACATGAGCCCTAAAAGGGTTTAAGGTCCATGTTACCTGAATAGGGGGCTAGAGCAGTAGAGGGTGTATGAAACCTTAAACCCGAAACCCTAGACCCTAAACCCAATTTTTTAGGGTTCACTTCGTCCCCAAGGTACTCCATCGAGTTCCTTGTCCGTTCGAAGTTCAACCTCATGCAGATTCTTGGTAGCCCAGTGGTACCCTCTACCCTCTTTTTGCTTCAAGGTCTCCTTATAAAGTCGCCAACCCCAACAAAGGCTGCTCTTATTATAGAATATGGCTACTGGGGCTACTCAGGATTGCAGTGGATCGAGGAGGTGTCGGCATGGGGCTGCTGACCTTGGTGTCTTTCGCCATGGCCTTCGCCGCGCTGGCCACCTCCCTCATCCATGGGCTCGCGCCGGACACCGGGGGCTCGGGCTCCCTAGTAGTAGAGTCGGTAACCTTTTACCTTTTTTTGGGGTAATAGAATCCACAAAAAATCTAACCTTTTTTGGTAATATAGAATCCCCTTAGAATCCCAAAGGTTAAGCCTGTATAGTTCCCCCAGGTTACTGGACAACTAAGGCTCCGTTGAGAACAAGAGCTGGCTCAATGGTTTCAACATGTCCTCGCAGTTCACGAAGCGCAACCTCGTGGTCCGCGCCATTGCCGTGGTGCTCTCCAACGCTACCGGGTTTCCGGTGGGCCGCGAGGGGCCCACCGTGACCATGGGAAGCAACATGGCCTTCTTGCTGTGCCGCGTGGTTGCGGAAACGCGCTCCTACGCGAACCTTGGGAACGAAAATGAACCTTAAAAGGGTTTATGATTCATATATACCTTAGTAGGAATTATAGTAGTAGAGGGTATATGACCCCAATTTTAAGGTTTATTTCGTCCCCAAGGAAGGAGTGGGTCGACTTGCAGGGAGGCTCCGCGGGTGCGTTGGCCGACGAGCGCTTCTTCGCGCGCGCGGCGCGCGTGGCCTGCATCGTGGGCGGCGCCTGCGGGATGGCGATGATCTTCGACTCCCCTTTGGGAGGGATCCTCGGATGCCCCATAGTGCCCTTATTCACCCCCCCCCCCCCCCCTTTTTTTTTTTTTTGGGGGGGGGGGGGGGGGGTTGGGTTCCCTTGTAATAATAATAATAGTAACAATAATAATAAGAATATGAATAATAAGCACCGTTTATTGGGCAAAAAAGTGCTGGGCAACCTAGGGTCTTATCATCAACACCTGTAAGTAAGCAAAAAAGGGCACCCTTTTTTAATCCTAGGTTACTGGGCAACCTAGGATCTTGTACATGTTTGAAGAAGTGACCAGCGTTGCCTGGCCGGTGGAGCTGACGTTCAAGGCCGTGGTCGGCTGCACCATCTGCACGTCGGTGTCCCTAGGACCCGGAGAGTAGGCCCTTATTTCCTTTTTTTTAGGGTTTGGGTTCTCTTATGACCCCCTTAAAAATTAAAGGAAGGTCACCCCTTTTTTTATTCCTAGGTTGCTCCTGGGTCTAGGTCCTATGCACTGCTGAAAGTCTGCAGATCGAGCATTCGGGAGTTTGTGATTTTCGAGATGTGGTACGGCACCAACCACCCTGACTGTTCTGCGAATGATCTGCCGGGCTTCATCATTTTGTCTGCTTTCCTGGGCGTTTTGTCGCCTCTACACACCAAGCTATGTCTAAAGGTGCTCGACTGGCGCAAGCGGATCCACTCCGGCCCCTTTCTCAGAAAGTACCAACCCTGGCCTAAGATGGTGGAGACCGTTGCCTACGCGGCTCTTTGCGCCTTTGTCGTTGCGCTAACAAGCCTGCTGGGGACCTGTTCGCCACTTCCGGACAGCACCCACGAGTTGAGCTATGTCCAGTACCAGTGCGCCCAGGGCAGGTACAATCCGACTGCATCACTGCTGCTGACGACTGCCGAAGGCGCGGTCAAGCGGCTTTTCAATCGGCAGAATCATGGTGCTTTTGGGATGCTGCCGCAATTCACTGCGTTCATTGCGTACACCACTTTGAACATTTGCTTCGCTGGGGTGCCCGTGCCCTCTGGGAATTTTACTGGCACCATGCTGATTGGTGGGCTGGCGGGTAGGCTTTTCGGGCGCTGCCAAGAGAAGCTCCTGCCGGAAGTGGCCCTGGCATCCGCAGGTCAAGGGACGAAAGGAGAGACCCTTATAAGGGACCTTAGGGGGTTATTCAGGGGTTTTTTGGGGGCTACTTAGCTATACAGGCACTACATAAGGTGTAAAAAACACAGGGGTAAAATAGTGGAAGAAGAGGGTCCATCCTTTACCCCGTAATCAGGTATTTATGCCATGGTCGGCGCAGCGGCAATGCTATGCAGCTTCAAGCACATGACCCTGGCCGTGGTTGTGTTTATTAGCCAGGCTGCCAACAATATTCTGCTGGTGCCCGTGCTGATGTGGGCGGTGACCGTGTCCCTTTTGGTCAACAAGATCCTTGGCTCCCCTATTGCTTTCGACGAGGCCCAGATCTTGAGGAAGAAGGTGCGCTACCTCGCGCCGGAGCCCTGCAAACCAGTTCGCCACCTGGTCGCGCGGCAGCTGATTGACGACCTGCCCCCCGAAGCCTGCCTCCCTGCCCGGCCGACCTCAGCAGAGGTCGTGGAGGCACTCAGTGAGACACAGGCACCCTTCCTCCCAGTTTTCACATCACGCGCCGGCGCTCGCAGGTGTTTGGGACTGGTGCCCCGCACGCGACTGGACGCCGCGATACGGGCTGCGGACGGAGGCATCGTTCCGGCAGACAGCCTTGCGGATCCTCCGAACATCACGATTCTGGCCGATGCCCCTGCCGACTCTTTCTACGTCCTCTTTGCCAAGGCACAGCTCCGAGCCGCGTGCGTTGTCACCGCCTCGGGAGACTACTATGGCGTCATCTCCCGCGCAGGCCTCGCAAAGACTGCGATGGCCCTTGAGGAGGGGCTGGAATTGGAGCCCATGGACGACGTGCAGTCTGGAGACGATGTGTCGGAGGGCTCGGAGACTGAGAGTAGTGGCAAAGAGAGTGAAGCTTTAGGGCCTTTAGGGGCCGAGACTTTTCGTGGCGCAGCTGCAACGCGGGTGTGACGCGAGGGGTTGCCAATGGGCCTTGGCGTGCAGAGTGTCCTATAGGCGAGCCCCTCCTCGTATGCCATTTTCCGAGGGTCACCATACAGAACTGGGTTCCCCACATATACATATATATATATATACATATATGCATATAGGTGTCTCGCAATACATAGGATTGGCTCTCGGTCTGGAGGCATACCCGCCAGGGCCCATGGCATCAACTGCACGGAGTCCGTTCCTTTTGTTGAAGTGGTGGGTGCCAACATACCTTTAGGTCCTTACGATCTTCGGGTGATTTGCAATCAATAGCACGAATAACATCCCAATGGTCTTGCCGTGATTAGCTCCGTGCCCCCGATCGAACTTCTACTGTACCTTTCGCCATCACCCTTAAGCATGTACCGAGGACAAGGCGAACCAACTCGTCAGTAGTTTGCAATCCCAATGTGTTACCCTAAACCCTAAACCCCAAACCCTAAACCCTAAACTACCCTGCAGTGCTGCTGGTCTGCTGCGCGCGTGGTCAAAATGACTCTGTCATCTCACAGTGCAGGTTCGGTGCTCAAGCTTGCTGGACTAGACCCTAAACCCTAAACCCTAAGTTCCCCCTTACACTAGCAGTTCTTGGATTGTAGCACCCCCTATTATATTCCCTATTAAGGACTGCGTTTCGGGGGAACATCCCAATTGACTATTGCTTTCATAAGGCTTCTAAGAGAATATGAAGGGCCATATTAGGAGCATATTATTCAAATCTCTTAAGGGTGACTGTTTAGGGTATAGCTACTATTTGCTTAAGAAGCCCCCTCCCCCCCCGCCCAAGAATAAAAGACAATGATCCCTGTATTGCCTTTAGAAGGAAGGTTGTTTTATTTGTATGTCACTTTCATGGAGGGGGGGGGGGGGGGCTTCTGAAGCAAACAGCAGTGTAGCCGGCAGCCTTTAAGCATCAAAACCATTGCGCGTCTGTTCCCCCGTGCTAGTCGGCTTGCTTAGAATGTTTGTTCTTGTTTGTAGAAGCCCCCAAGGGAATGTTTACAACTTGTAATGAGTCTTGATTGCGGTTCTGAGGGGATACCCCCGGGCCCTTTTAGTTTAGAGACCCCGCTGATGCTTGGCCAAACAGCCGCAGGTCATACGGATCCTGGATGCCCCTGGCCTGCTGCCGATGAGCTACAGCCCTTTGGCCCTTGGCATCTACCCTATTCGAATTATTCAGGCCCATTCCCCCTTCTGGTCCCTATGTAAAGGTACTATAATAACCCGCCAAAACCCTAAACCCTAAACCCTAAACCCTGTTCTAATCATTAAGGCCCCTGTATTACAGGAAAATTCAAAAGATGAGCTCAGGGACCCGATTTCGTGGCGGTGGTTAGGGTTTTGCTGTGAATCCCTGCAAGGCTGATAAACAGGTCTACCTTGGGATTTTGGGATTTTGGGAATTCAGGGTTTAGGGTTAAGGCTTCCATTAAGTTTATAGGGGCTGTGGAGGGTAGTGTAAGGCATTGAACTTGAGAATTGGAAGTTGGGGTCGTTCATGATAGAGCTGCCCTAAACCCTAAACCCTAAAACCTAAACCCTTGTATTGGGCCCAGGGGTACTTGTAACTAGGGTTTTTTTCGGACTTGTGTACTTTGAGCTCGATGGGCAAATCCAGGGCTTTGGGGTTTAGGGTTTCGGGTTTAGGGTTTAGGGTTGGGGCTTCAGGTTTTTAGAGAGGCCTGGATGCAAAAGAGTTCTGAAGGGTTGAGGGTTTGGGGTCGCCTATTGAAGGCCACGCCCAACCCGTCCAAGCTGCCGTCGCTGCGGCTTGGCTAGCAAGCGATGGGTTTAGGGTTTAGGGTTTAGGGTTTAGGGTTTAGGGTTTAGGGCTTAAATTTAGGGTTTATGGTTTAGGGTGTAGGGTTTAGGGTTTAGGTAAGCCCTTGGGGTGTGTTACGTTTTCCCTTATTGGGTTTAAGTGGATCAGATTTGGGAATCTTTCTCAATCGGGTTTTGAGGGGCTATCCTCGTAACCCAAAACCCTGAACCCTAAACCCTGAACCCTGAACCCTAAACCCTAAACCCCAAACCCCAAACATTACATAAACATAAACCAAAAACAAAAACCTTGGCAGCCCAATGGTGCCCTTTTGCCCTTTTGTGGGTTGCAGGGTTCCCTTCCAAAATGGTAACCGGGCTTTCTCGGCGTAAGTAGGCTAGCATGGTACTAGGGGGTTACGGTATTTGGGGGTTACCTGAATGGTGTCCTTATTACAAGGGGATCCTACTATCTGGGATCTACATCAGGGGTCACTTATAAGCGTAAACCCGCCACACAGGGTCGTTGCTTTAAGGCTTCCGTACTAGATGGCGCGGAGCTCTGAAGCAGGTAAGGTGCAGAAGCAAGCCCATACATGCCCTGCATGTCGAACCTACATGGGCTTAGGGTTTAGGGTTTAGGGTTTAGGGTTTAATTAGGGGTAGCCTGGGATATCTAACGCTCTCTGACTGAAGTCTCTCCGGCAGTTTCCCTACATTGCGACATGAAACCATCATCTGGGATTAATGCACTGGCATGCGACCTTCCACAACGTCTCCGTCTTCAGTGTTTTTTGGCGGACAGCCCAAGTTCCTCTCCATTGCTGTAGCTCTGCCTTCCTGGACCCTGGACAACAAAGAATATTCAGAGATTGCCAAGGACGCTCCTGCAGTCGGCCGCGACACATCTGGCCACATGAACGTGTGAGCTAGCTTCCTTGCGAGGGCAAAGGGTGTTTAGGGTTGCTCGTCTTTCCGTTATCTATCACACCTTGGTCCACAATCACGTGGCGACGCCTTGCAAGAAGCCGAGGCCGTGCGCAGTACTCAGTGTACAGGGATCCGACAGGAACCACTATGCACGGACCCCAATGTCTTCGCACCCCATAAGCCTATGTTCCCCGAGGTCCGACCCCCCCCCCCCCCCCCCCCCCCCCAAAGCCAAACTCAAACTCACGGCCCACACCCAAACCCCTCAACCTTGCACTTAGGATGACCGTCTCAGCTCCCTCCACTTCATAATCATGACAGAGTATCGGCCCTACTCCTCACACACAGGTACTTATATCTTGTGTCGACCTATATATATATATACATACATACATACAATTGCAAGCAAGGCAACCTAAGCTGCCACCTTAATTCAAAACACTTGTAACCAAGAATAACACTGTCATGAACCTTCAACTACATCTGTTATGCTGAGCCCCAAGCCCCAAGCCCCAAGCCCCAAGCCCCAAGCCCCAAGCCCCAAGCCCCAAGCCCCAAACCCTAAACCCTAAACCCTAAACCCTAAACCCTAAACCCTAAACCCTAAACCCTAAACCCTAAACGCTAAACCCTAAACCCTAAACCCTAAACCCTAAACCCTAAACCTTACAGTTCGAGCTGGCCGGAAGTGCCGACGGCGGCCGTTTGGGGGTCTGCTGGTTGATCAAATGCGGCGGATGCCGTTTGAATCTGCAGGGCACACACCTCTGCCATCCTCTGCTTAGTAGCGCTGAGTGAGTAGGGTTTAGGCTTGAGGGTTGAGGGTTTAGGGTTTAGGGTTGAGGGGTTCAGGGTTTAGGGTTTAGGGTTTAGGGTTTGCGGTATCCTCTGCTTAGTAGCCGAGTGAGTACACTTTACACCTTTTGGGATACTATAATCCCCTATAGAACTGAAAGTGTACACTTTTTGTGGGGCCTTTTGAACTCGGCAAACAAAGTCTGTTAGAGGTTAAGGGGTTCGTGTCTGACAGCGGAGGGTTGAAGGTATGGGGCCTAGGGCTTACGGGTCAGGGGTGAGGGTTTGTGGTTTCGGATGCATCAGCTGGTGGAGTGAAGGGGTTTCTTCAGATCAATGCCTAAGCCTGATTCCACGGTTTTGGGGCGCTAAAGAGTAGCTTGCTTGCGGTGTCTTCCATGGACACGACCAGCTGCAAGGCAGGAACCAAGGCAAGAGTCACATGAAGCAGTATCCGGGGGTGTGAAGTAGAATTGAGAAGTCTTTCAACCAAAAACAGTGGTCGAGACTCCCTGTCACTTTCTGCAAAAGGGTTTACAGTTTACAGGGCTGGCGGCGAGCAAGTCTTCTAGGGGTTGCCAATTGATGGCTGGAAAGGGGTTCCCTGCTGGGAATGTGCCATAGCTCTTGATGTCCGGGCCTCGACCTCGTCAAGATGGTTTCCGGTGTTTGTAAACAGGGTTTAGGGTTTAGGGTTTAGGGTTTAGGGGGACAGACTTCTCCAAAGAAATGTTTGGCAACAAGTATGGCAATCGATTTTTTGTATACGGTCTGAGGCAGGGCACGAGGAATTCCACACGACGTGGCATTCAATAGGCCAAGGGCTTGCCAACGCTGGCGATGCGGGACTGAAGCAGGGACCTGCTCCAAGGAGCCAAGACGGGCTCCGCGGGCGCAATATAGTCTTCAGGGAGGCTTGGATATAGAGTCCCTAAACCCTAAACCCTAAACCCTAAATCCCTAAACCCTAAATCCCTAAACCCTAAACAGGGTGAAGGCTAGAGTTAGCGTCCCAGAGATTCCCCCTGATGTCAGCCCAAAATCCCAGTGACTTGGCAATGCGCACCATCATCGGGAGCTTCGGTAAGGGCTGAGTAGGCTTTAAGGGTTTAGGGTTTAGGGTTTAGGGTTTAGGGGGCGAGGGGGCGAGGGGCTTTAGACTGACATAGTTGCCTCCGTAGGTAGGGCTGAGTCATCTCAAGATGCAGTGGTGTGCTTCAGGAAACACGGGATTCACTATGTCACCAGTCGGAGGCCGTGTTGACAAGCCAGGCCCGTGGAATCTTTGGGTGAAATTCGCTCTGCTGCTAGCTGCGCTGCATGAGCACATTGCGTGTGCTCGTGGCTGTTCAAGTGAATGCAAAGGCCGCGCATCGTCCATTTTTTTCTGGAACCTCCTTGACAAGTTGAGAGTGACTTAGCGGCTCTTTGCAAGGCAAGAATTATGGAATTGGCCAAAATCATCCCTTGAAGTAAAGCAAGTGTGGAAG